TGGACTCGCTGACGCCATTGACATGACGACGACGACGGCCGCCGAAAGACTAAGGAATTGTTTCTTCTTAATACAAATAAAATATGCCGAAATTCAAAGACAAAGATTCGTTAAACACAAAAAGATCAACAAAAGCTTTGAGAGTTATTTTTGAAGATTACCTAAAAGCAAGTAAGGAGTTTGAATTTTCCACGAAATAACGAAGAACTCGCAGATGTACAGTACTATAAAAAAATTTTACGCCGAAGCCAGGAGAGCAGACGGGGCATCATACACGAAAAATTCATTATGTTCAATACGTTTTGGTTTAAAGAGATATTTCAAAGCTGTTAATAACATTTATATAATCAAGGGCAAGGAATTTGACGAAGCGACTACAGTGTCTACCAAGCGCAGTGCACAGATTTTAAGAAAAACGGACTTGGGAAAACTGAACATAAACCGGCGATAGGTGATGAAGACATTACGAAACTGTATGAAAGTGGCGTATTCAACACAGAAACTCCAGCTATACCTTCCAAAACAAGGTATTTTAGCAGGGATAGCGAAATGTGGTCAAAACAGAGGACGGACTCACAAAAAACCACGTGGCAGACGATGCCCAAGCCGAGGAAAGAGGATTGCAAACGGCGTCTAGTTCCCTCTGTCCCGTGTACTGCATTGAAAAATATTTGAGCCATCTAAACCCATTGAACGAGTTTCTTTTCCAACGACCATAATTAAAAATTTCTTCTGGCAGTAAGATTTGCTATGACAACATTGTCGTCGGGGCAAATACACTCGGCAAGAAAATGAAATGCATTTCAAAGCTAGCAAACCTGTCCCTTCTGTACACAAACCACTCCATCAGGGCGACCACAATTACAATCCTTGATAGAAACGGATACGAGGCAAGACATACCGTGGCCATGGAAATGGATTGCACTGAATGAAATATTCCATATTCAATTAATGTACTCGGAGAAATATGAAGTCCTGGGAACAAGCTTAAGAACGTTTTCCCGCTAAAATGGTGTCCGCCATATTGAAATGAGACAAAAACCAGTGGACGAAAATCATACCTAAAGTGAAAATAAACTATATTATGATTTTTGATGTATTGGAATAAGTCACTAGGCTAAACAAAAGTTCAGATGCTTGTTAATTAACAGAACTGAAATATTGCAGAGAAGACCTTGTAGTTCAAGAACAATAGAAGATTACTTATTATCGCTGCTTGAACAACCTTTCGTTTACAGTTAAGTATAATCTATCTTTGGCTGAATTGTGCACTGTGGATCATTTCAATACATCGAAATTGTCCCGTCTCATATCTCGTCCAGGCAAAGTGGGATCATATAAACAGCCCCTTACTCAGCAAAATGTGCATGCTGTCATCCCTTGGGGGTGAGGCAGCACTTTCCTTGCGATAGTAACTTCTAGTTATTGCTATTTATAGCTATAATTAGCGTACAGTAATGTCTATTTCCCAAACCGGTTTGACATATTTTCACACATGGCGCCAGTCACATGCGAGATTCAAATTCTGAACCTAATCAAGTGTGGAAGTGGGATTTGCAACCGATTTGGCCAGAGGCTCTTCTTTCTCGCCTCTCATTTCTATCGCCTCGCAAAGGTTTCGCCTCGCAAAGGTTTCGCCTCGCAAAGAGCCTCTGGAACCAGGGTACCGGTGCTGTTCAAATCGTTCCTGGCGTGAGAAATCTTATATAACATTATATCAGTTTCGATTAAATATACTGGGAACACTTTTGTGCCATATAAGAAATTTGGTGACACGTACGTTTGTGCCATATGGAAGTATCGTTTCCTCTCGCTTCGAACAATGAAATAATTGGATGATTTATGCATGGAAATCACGTGCGTGGAAATCACGGGCGTGAGCCGCGAAAACTTGCTGTACTTGGGTTCTAATGTAAATAAAAAAATACAGTATTTGCATAATATGTAAGTGTATATTAATTTATGTATTTAGAAGCACTGTCAAGCAAGATATTGAATAGTTCAGGTGCCGTATACTCTATTTTAACTGCTATTTAGATTTAGAATACTACTGTTGTCAAATTGAATTGCAATTGCTCCTAATGTCAGCTAGTCGTTCAAGCCAATGTTTGATAAGTGTTCTCAGCATCTCTGGTTTGGTTCAACTTAGTGTAAGTTGGCTCGAGCTCATTTTCATAAATTGCTTCATCACCAGCAGAATTAACCTTCAGTGGTTGATAACATTCTTTGTTACCCATTTTATTTAGATCCAGTTCTTGGTAAACTGAATCGCCCTGCGGGGGCTGCTGCGCAAGTTTTGATTGGATTTGTTTATTTCGAGAACGACACCGATAATAGACCACAATGTACGAAAGGATTATGCCAATAAAAATACCAGACACCAATGCAACAACAATATGCCAAAATATCACAGTGGTCTTATTATGAATCTTGTTGCCAGCTGCGTTCCCTGAACAAAAATATTTTTTAATATTAACGGGTTATGTATAATGTCGATGGCAGAAAATGTGAGTGCATGGATGGTTCACCCAAGTCACATGCAAGTCATGATCTCGCGCTCTTCCAGTATATATCGAAATGTTTTGGGACTCAATGGAACTAACAGTTGAAGTTTTTTTGTAGATGGAAATTTTATATACAATTGTTTTGGAAAATAACCTGGAGCAGTTGCGAAAAATGAAACCATAGGCCTATGGTAGGAATCGGCGAATCGCACCTGCTATTTCAGTGCCGTGCTCTAACCAACTAAGCTACAGAAAAAGATGCATATATCCTTCCAATTTTAATTTACATCTTTTCAAAAACTCTTCAAGTGTTAGCTATATGTTACCCATACCTTATGCCGGCATCACCAACAAGCTGGGGTTAGAGCTGAATAAATTTTATATATGTATTGAGACCTAACCAGGTCGTCTTTGTATATAGCTCATAGATCAGTTGGTTATAATGAGCGCTCCACCGTGATCGCAGAACCACAGATTCGATTCCAGCTAAAGAGATTTTAGTTTCATTTTTCGCAAATGCACCTCGATGGAGGAGAGCTAATCACCTGAAAGTCGCGAATTCGACTGCTTCCTGGCAACAGATGAGAGTGGTGGACATGCATTTTTTTATTATTCACCGGTGAATAATTAAATCTTTGAGTTACGGAGGAGAATTATGGAAACGTCCCTATTTATGATGTTTTTGTTTTCTTGCAGATTAATACTTATTAACAGCATGGGACACATAGGGAATCGTCTAGGAAAACATTGGCAGTCGATGGTTCACAATTAATAAGTGACTGTTAATTGTTTAACTGCTAAAAAATTAGTAAAATTACTTCGCATTAGTGAATATATTTAATGCAGACAACTCAACGAAGAGCCATTATGATACCACCATTTCAACAATTACAATAATATCATTACTTCAGACATTACTTTCCAAATATCTACAAGTAATATGGGAGGGTTGCGGGCCCCTTGCGATCTACAATCTTGGCTGAATACCCTCTTGATCATGAAACGCTGCTCTAATAAAACGCCTAGCAATTAGCAATATGTGGCTCAACCAAATTATTTGCAAAATAAACACAACAGCAAATGAATCCTTTATATCGAAAACACTTAATAGGCTATGTGTATAGTCATTTCAGAAAGTCTTATAAGGAAAACATATATAGTTTCTGAACAACAAACACTTTTACCTGTTACAGAATTTTTGATGGTCGGGACATTTCGATTTGTTGCAATGCCTGTTGAAGGTCCTAACTCTTGTGAACCTAATAAAATCAACATGTTTGAATGTCAGCTTCTTATTTGCTCCAGTCCAGATGGTTTGGTTGCATAGTATTTTCACGTACGTTTGAACAATAATATTTGTGCATTTGCGTATGCATTTTAGAGAATATACATTCCAAATTAACCTTCAAGCGCATCAAGAGCATATTAAGTGCATGTACGGACCTGATACTTTTCGGGGCAGCACTTTTGCCTGTATTTTTGTCGAATATTGTAATCAGGAAATGACGGCGTGAGTTTAATATAAACTATTTCGTGACAAATTTTCCCGATTGCTTCCTTATTTTCCCTAGCACTTGCCCAAATTTCCATGGGCGATGGCGGACTATAATATCTGGATTCTCATCAACCGACGGTATATGAACAAGTTTTGTGATTTGTTGGTTATAACAATGAAACACAATTCAATAAAGCAAAAGTATACATTTTCTAATGAATGCGTCACATACACTCTTCACCTTGGTTCAGGGAAGACAAATTACAAATATATTCATTTTGAAGATTCGGTAGATAGAAATTTCGATTGCAAATTTTATACATTTATTTAGACTTAACCATGGCTCAGTTGGCCAATGAGCGCTTCATCGGAGTCACAGGGCGCTGGTTCGACGCTACCAGAGTGCCTATATATTTGCATTTTTTGCAACTGTTCCTGATTACAGTGATTAGGTCTAAATAAATATATAATATTTACATTCCGATTTCCATCTGCAAAATCCTTCAACCTTGGAATAATATTAGCCTTGTATGCGCATTGGTCCGTTCTTTCCATTAAATGATTAACTGCATGAATCATTGCTTGAAGGAAAAATGATCATCTGGATCGATTACTAATGCAGAATATTCCGCTACATGAAACCGCGAGCAACCACAATCACTCAGCCTGAGCTGACAAAGAGTATTTTTGCAATAATTAATTTTCCTACAGTGCATTGATATTTATGACGAAAATAAATTGCTAATATTTCTGGTTATCATGCCCAAATGGTGTATTGGCCCGGTAAAACTCAACATAAAACTAATCTTCTAAAATTTAAATCAGGTTTCAATATATACTTTCGAACGAAAGTTCGAAAATACAATACAGTATACGTCTAATTAAAAAGGTATAATCGAAAATACAATACAGTACGTATAATTTAAAAAGGAAAAACCAGTGTAATCTCGGATAGATACTAGGCATTATTGTTCAAGGAATGTTGTTCTAGTACTCATGGGTAGCAACACAGAAAGCAAAGTTTCGCTATGTTATGTTATGTTAGAACTAATTACCAAGTACGAGATTTCTTAGGGAAAGTAAATTTATCATGCCGAGGAGGGGGGATGAAGATGTTAAGGGGGGTACCGGGTATCTTTCCGCATTAAAGGGGGCCTCTGAAGTTCTCGATATAACGAAGGGGGCTATAAACTTTTCCAAGTTTTGGTCCAGGAGGCCAACATGAACACTTTCATTATATATTTTGTGTTCAATGTATAGACCACAGAAAGATTCTTTTAATGTGTTTATTTCATCAACAAACGACGTTTCGGAGATTTACTGCCCCTTCAGGTAGATAAGATTACAATTCATACTTTCATAATGCTTTGGCAGAATTAGCTTTCACTTTTTAGTTTTAATATATACATAATACAAACAGAAGAGAACAATGTCAATGAATAAAATTGAAGTCTATACTGCAATTATGTATTTCGCCTATTAGAGGCACTACCGCATGGGGGAGCTCCACTTGGAATATGTAAAAGAAGGTTGCAACCAGGGGCGGATTAGCCCATCGGGCTACCGGGCGATCGCCCTGTGGGCCCCCAGTTTTGTACAATGGGTGCCCCAAAGAGGTTTATCCTTGACCTTAAATTTTTATTAAAAGGGCCTGGAAGTCGCTTGAACGCCTGCTCGCAGGCCGAAAACCATGGCAATAATGCTTACATAGTTGTATAAATAACGCCACTCGATCGCATTAAATTTGTAAATCAAAAATTTATTTAAATAATTTAAATGAAACGCAATATTGTTAAATTCTACATAAGATATTAGCGTTATTGACCAAGTATGTATCCGTTGTGTTCTAAGTGAATCGAACGAGTGTTTGTTGTGTGTGGCACCCTCCCACTGAGGAAAAGGTGAAGGACTATTCCAACTTTTGAAGAATGCTTTAGAAATACGTAAAATTGTGTTTAAAAATTGTATAGCCGATAGCACAGACGGTGCCGCAAATGTAAGTGATATTTACAATGGACTGCAGGCTAAAACAAAGGAGAACGTTCCAAACCATGCACGTGTATGTTCGCTGTGATGCTCATACACTCAACCCAGTTGTGTATGATTCGTCTTCTTTGTCTGGTCTGGTGGAGAAGCTGGTAATTTCTTTCAGTGATTCGTACAAGTGTATGGACGTCTGGAGGGATATGATTGTTAAATGTCAAATCGGAACCGATGGACAAAAGCGTCTGCAAATGGTAAGCAACACCAGATAGTCAAGCAACTAGTCTCGTGCTTTAACGCGCATCTTTGGTTCATTTCAAGATCCAGACTCATCTGTTTACCTTGCTATAATCCGTTGCTTGACGTGTTTACTGCATTCTAACAGTCAAAACCAATCCGTAAGAACTCAAGCTGCAAGGCTTAGAGATAAGCTCTTGGAATATCGGGTAATCCTTACTGCCATGGTTTTCCTTAGCATGTTTAGATTTTTGCGACCACTCAGCAATTAATTTCAAACTGCTGGGATAGACTATGCGCAAGCATAGGTTCAAATTGAAATGAATCAACTTAACCAAGGCCTCATTAAAGTACTGCAGCCTATGATGACCATGAAGAGACTGAAGATGATGCCCGTGATGATGGTGAGAATCAGGAACTATCAAGTCATCGTAGATTTATTAGATGCTGCCAGAAAGGCAGAAGATGCAACAATTGCCCGACATGTGTATATTGTATATGTTTTTTAGCCTGCGAACAGGCCCTCCTGGGTTACGGAGTCGTTATGAGATGCATTCGGCTGCTTACAAGAACTTGTATCAGGTATTCAAACTGGCTTTGACTTTGCTTGTTACAAAACAACATTTTGCAAACGAACATTTTCAAACTTAAACTGTTTAAAACACAATTATGAGGCACGTTATCGGCAAATCATCTAGAATCGGTGCTATTAATCATGGTGGAAAACAAACTGTTAGATTCTTTTACCATGGACAACATTATTGATAATGTGGCGCAACATTCATCTGAATATCAGAGACTTCTATTGCGATGAAGCCTACATTGTAACCTATATATGATAATATGAAATCTAATATTTGGTAAGAACTATCTTTATATAACGTTATAGAAATGTAATTTTTCTTTAACTTAATTTATAATTCGAGTCACAGAAAGAGAAAATTCGCTGATATTCCTCTTGGTTATTACGTCACCAGTGGCGCGCCCTTTCACGTTAAAGCCCGGTAACACTAATATTGCTTATCCGGCCCTGGTTGCAACACGCCTCTTTATCGACCCCTTTCCCTCGGCGTAATAACTGTACTTTCCCTTAGCGAGATACAACCCAAGGGCGTGACCCAAGGAAAGCGTCCCGAGGGATGCTTTCTGAACGCTATCAAGCTCCCGAGGGATGTATCTCGCTAAGAAACCTCGTTCTTGATAATTAGCTAAAAATACCCAATATTTGTGTACTTAATCCAAGCCTTAATATCCCTCACCTGCAGTTGATAAATTCTTGGTCGTCGGGGAATCTAATTGACTTGCTGTGCCACTTGTATCCGTTGTTAACTGTTCTGAACCAAATTAAATTAAATTCAATGTTCGTATGCTGAAGCTTACATGCAAAGTAACTAAAAATAGTAAAAACTTATTTGGTAACATGTTTCTGAAATTGTGTTCATTGCAATTATATATACAACACTGATTATAACAGTTTATTTCACGTAACTAAAAATAGTAAAAACTTATTTGGTAACATGTTTCTGAAATTGTGTTCATTGCAATTATATATACAACACTGATTATAACAGTTAATTTGTTTTGCAGATTCTTGTTTTGATGTATCATCCTTCGTGAGATAAATCAGACAGGCGTTTATCCAGCCAAATGATGATTAAAAACACACAATTGTCTCACTGCAAAATAGTTGAATAGTAATTCACATAACATATGTGAATAGTCATTCCAGAAAACTTGAGAAAAACTATATATATATACCATTACGGTAGTTTCTGAATAAACCCACTACCTGTTACAGAATTCTTGGTGGTCGAGATACTTGGAGGTTTCAAAATTTCTGGACGTACTGAAATCAAGGTATTATAATTTTAGAGTGCGTTGTGGTGTATTTTGTGGCTAAAGAGAAGAAATTAGCCGGCTAAAATACATTTTGACCCAAAATTTCATATGGGGTATATGTAGATATTGCAAGTGGAATTAATAGTTGAAACCTCAACCTATTTTCCCTCATGCATATATAACTTGATGTGGTACGAGGGTAGCTTAAACCAGGGTTGGTCATAAAACAGGACCTGACCAACAACTGAGGCAGGATGCATCATCACTTGGACTCCAGACAAGCTCAAGTAGCCAAGCATGTCAATTTCTTTTGAAAACAAAATTTGTCTATGAGGTCATAAAGACCAAATACTTTATTATTTTGTTTGATAATTGCCAAGGATTTCACACAGAACCCCCACCCCCAATACCCAAGTAAATACATCGGACTACTACACAAAATAATACTTCTTTCCCTCTGAGTTAACAATGAAAGCATATTTTTTACAGATCTCTGCAATTTTATGTTTACAAGTTCCTTGAAGATATGATTATAATAAATGGTGACAGATGCCTGTACATTGCAGAGTATTTTGTACATATTTTGTACTTACTGAGTACTTTTTATAATATTCAAACAATAGATAAACTGATATTTGCTGTGTTGGTGTAATGTACTCAGGTGAATAAGATGCTTGTGTGATATTACTCTGCGTGTATATCCACACCGGGCAGGCTTGAAAAATATGCCTGGCCACGGTGGGAATCGAAGCTACGACCTTTGGAATACTAGCTCAACGATCTGCCAACTGAGCTACGCGGTCAGGTCGGTTCGAGTATGCGATATTTCGGAACTGAGTCTAGTTCCTTCGATATCAGTGCAATCTAATAATCATGATATTTGCTGTGTTGGTGTAATGTACTCAGGTGAATAAGATGCTTGTGTGATCTTACTCTGAGTGTATGTCCACACCGGGAAGGCTTGAAAAATAAGCCTGGCCACGGTGGAAATCGAACCTACGACCATTCGAATACCAGACCAACGCTCTACCAACTGAGCTGAAGTCTGATATCGAAGGAACTAGACTCAGTTCCAAAATATCGCATATTCGAACCGACTTGACCGCGTAGCTCAGTTGGCAGAGCGTTGGGCTAGTATTCGAAATGTCGTAGGTTCGATTCCCACCGTGGCCAGGCATATTTTTCAAGCCTGCCCGTTGCGGATATACACTCAGAGTAGCATCACACAAGCACAATAGACAAATTTGTATCATAATTAATTTAAATTTGTATCACAATCTATAATTTAATAAATATTCATTCCATCTTGTTTCATTTCTTGTTTTGTTTAGTAGCCTGCAAGAAAAGATCTTCTTCGAAAGTCAGATATTTTTGAAAACTTATTATATATATATACACAAGGCCTCCAATTTTGTTTTTTGGGTGGGGGGAATCTCAAGAATAAATTTGAATTGCTTTTGCACTTTTCTAGTTCTTCTGTGTGTGTTTGCTTATACAAATGGAATATTGGGCGGGGGCAGGGCTCATGTCTCCCCCCCCCCACCACCACTTCTGACAACCTTGATGCATGATCTAATTGGCTAGGCCCCACCCACCTATGTTTCTTCCCCAATAAAATTAGTAAGAACAGTATGCTAAAAGAGGCTCAAACATAGGGAATGTTTCTGCGAAAGCTGGGTTTGCTTGATAAGAGAGATATCACTATGTATAGCAGGCCTTTTTTAAGGTACTGTCACTGTTTGAATCACTCAAACCTGATGCGGAGTAAGTGCATAAGGATGTGTTTTGGAAAAGTGCGTCAATGAAATCAACTCAGTAGTCAGTATGGTGTTAAGCCTCAAAAACAGAAAGCAATAGACTTGGCAATAGACCCTTCACCTTTCCTGCAAGGGGTGCAAACACAATAAAATTCCCTATAGGTAAATTTGCAAGGGATGCAACTATGCAAACAATGGTGAAAAAAATTAACAATATATTCAAGATGGCACCTTGCAACTTGCACATGGTGCAAAGGCTAGCTACAAAACTATTGATTAATAGAAATTTATTTAACAATATTTTAGCTGAGATTCGACAGGAATTATTTTGATCGGTGTATATGTCTTTAGTTTGCCACTAAGAGTGCAAAAGAAACATTCCGTATATTTTGGCAACTTCTTTCGGATCTTGGCCAAATATGGAAATAACGTTTCCTTCTCCAATAATGTCGAACCAAGAACCACTTACCAATGTCTACAGTCAAAATTCGAAGCTATTAATTTAGATAATTTAAGATTGATATTTTTAAATATGTACATATATTAAATTGTGACAATTGATACATTTTTTAGCGTAAAATATGTAAAATGTAAATGAACATACCTTCGTACTCTTCTTCAATAAGCAGGAAATATACTTTAACGTTTCCTCGCCATGCATAACGACCTTGAAAAAAGAGTAAAAATCCTCCCTATTTGCATTTTCTCGGCCATTACAACGGTCGCCATCTTGGATGCGGGATTTCCGAATCGCTTCAGATTCTATCGCATTCCCATTAAGCCCCGCTCCCATTGTTTTTCCGCTGATCTCTATTCCCAACTGAAGCGACTAGGGACGAAGCAGATAAAATTATCCTTTGACGATAACGATAACGATTTTTAAATCGCTCACCCGAGCCATCTTTTTTCAGTCAGACGATAACGATAAACTTTTTACCAATCAGCGCGCGTATACAAATTATCGTATCGTTATCGTTGTGTAGTGTGATCGGACCTTTACATCTGCCGGCAGTCGGTTTCAAAAAAATGCTGTCATCTCTTGGGCTTTTCAACGACAAAATGACGGCAGAAGTACAAAAAGAGAAGATACACATAATTATTTTCAAAAATTAATTAAAAAGGGTCCATTCCCAAAAACAAGCATGGTAAAAACAATTCCGGTTTTTTGTGTCATGCCTACTTCAAAATATGTTTTGATCGTGCAATCAATATCTTACGTATATAATATAGCATTAATTGCTGCACTGGAACATCGAAGGCACCCAAACCATTTGGGACCTGCAACCACATTGTTGGGCAGCATTTTAACTTAAACGGGTATTGTTATATGCGCATCTGGCTCTAATAAACTTCATGGTTGTACGCTGAAAGGTTTTTACGGATAGAACTATTTTCAACGAAAAGCCTAAATTATAAGCCTAATTACCCAAGTGGTTGTGAAAAATACGAATTCAAGTTAATATAGGCCCGCTGCAGGAATCAAACCTACAGTGATACGACTCTGCGATCCCGCGGCGGCAGAGCGCGGCTCTGACCAATACTAAAACTTCTGAAATGGAATTCCTAATTTCACAACTGTTTAAAAACATGTTCTCTCTTTTACAAAACAGACCGTAAATTATTTAAAGTCCCATGCATTATGCACTATTTCGAAAGGGAAAGTCACGCGTTATGACATGCATGCATGCATGGGTCATTTCGGGAACTTGAGCTGGCAGCGTATCATTTGAAACGCAATAGTTGCTAATTTTCAAATTTCTATCACCATTCAAAACAACTGTTGTAACTCAAAGTTTCAGTACTGTTATACTGAAACAAGCGTGATCTGAAACAATTTTAGCGGACCAAGCTACCCAAATCTGCAAGTTTATTTGTAACTATATTATATTAACTTAATAGTATATTCAATTCGAATCGCTAACTTTTTCAGATATACTTCATGCCGGGTTTTTATTGTCATTCATTTTAATCATTGCATTTAATTTACTTTACACAGTGTCTTTTCACCAGACATTTCACCGAGCCAACGGAGCGGAGCCCCGTTCCGGGCGTAAACCTTGCCCGTTCCGGGAGTAAACTATTTACACCCGGGGAAAGGAAACTATTAGCGAAGTGTGCTGTTCATGGTACCAACTACGAAAGCCTATATATATATATATATATATATATATATATATATATATATATATATATATATATATATATATATATATATATATATATATATATGTAGTGGTTTTTTTAGTTGTTTTCATGCAACTAACATCATAACTTAACAAGTCGTTCTCAGCTTGACCTTGTAGCTCAGACGGTAGAGCATCGTTCTAGAAATACGAAGGTCGCGGGTTCGAATCCCAGCCGCGGTCAAGTACAATTTTCTGCTTGCCCGGTTTGGTATACACTCGTATGAAAACAACTCAAAAACCACTACACACATATATATATATATATATATATATATATATATATATATATATATATATATATATATATATATATATATATATATATATACACAGGGTGTCTAAAAAAAAACGCTACGGAAATTAAACAGGCTGTCGTTCATCATAAACGAGGCTAAACAATTCAATTTTTACATAGGACGAAAGAACAGTTATTTAGCTTTTCAATGATACTCTTTTTAAGTCGTAACGATGAGAAATGGCCACATACTCGTCAAATAAAAATTGCCGGTCGAAATCACATTCTTCCACCGTTGGGAATTGCATCGAAAACGAAACATAAACAATTCCCAAGAGGGAATTAAAATTGAATGTTAAATTATCTAAAATAAGCTCAACTCGTCAATCTTCCTCTTAGTGAGACAATATAACTCAATACGAGACTCAATTTGGTGCGAAACATGGTTCAATTAACCCCTGAACAGAGAACATTCGTTATCAAAACGTTTTATGAAACAAATAGCTTGCAGCAGGCTCGCGTTGCTTTTGGATTGACTAACTTTGCATAATTAATGTATTTTCAATTCCCAAGTGGAAGATATATATATATATATATATATATATATATATATATATATATATATATATATATATATATATATATATATATATATATATATATATATATACAATCCTTTGTTGTGAATACACTGTCTATAGCTTCTCACTCCATTATTCCATTAATTAAACGATTTTTCGACCTTCAGATTGATCGTTTTGTTCTCAACTTGCTAACCGCTATCTTCTTTTTTCGCTGGTGAAAACAGCCGAGCGGAATTATTACCCCGGCTACCATGTTAGTTCGAAGACTATGTACATCTACTATTGCTTTATGTGCAAAAAATTTAATAAAAACTACTGCTATTTAATAATAGTTACCTGCAATGAAGAGCGTAACATCAGATTGTACAACGCCAAGTGCAAAAAGGGTGAAGTGGTATGTTCCATTATAACGCAGATCAACCATCTTTAATATCAATGTTGCTGGCTTTTGTATTGCAATACCAGGTAAACTGCTGTTTAATATCACTGGGAAACCATCATCTGTTATTGTTGCAAGTGATTCTGCAACTTTTTTACCGTTATTACTGAATGACCAAAGCCGATAACCTACACTAGATATAGGGTCATCAAATGACCACCTTATTTTCACTTGTGCCCCATGCAAAGAAGTCAATATATCTCCACCAGCTGGTAGGTTGATTTTTCCTGGTTATCAATACAAATTAAAAGCATTAGTATGTTTTCTACATTTTGTAAGAATGAAATAATCAAATGTAGTATTGGATCGACTTAAACATCTGCATTGTGTATTATTCTGGCAGTTTCAAACTCAAATCCACAATATGGATAAAAAAACACTATTGCCACACCAACAAAGAAATAATAAAAAATTAATGTTGGCATATTATTATCATTATTAACTTACCCTCACTCAAATGCGACGCAAGACTGACTAAAGTAATCATTATTGAGACCCACCTCATCATCTCAAGAAAGCATACCTATATACAGGAAAAGAAGACTTACTATTTTCCTAACATATCAAGTACACAACTGATGCTTTTTTTACACGGAAGCCTTAGACAAAAACGAAAAGTTCATAGCGTAGTTAGGCGAGCGAATCCTGCAACTGTTTTTCGTTTATGCAACTGCTCGAATTGAATATTTTAAATCCTGCATGCATGCATGCATGCATGCATGCATGCAAGTTTTATTTTAGTAGGCCTATAGCGTCGTTCCAAACTTCACACAAACCTGACAATTATATACATTTACCCAGTTTTGCCATGCAAGCATTTACTTCAGAACAATTCCAATATTCATCGGCTGTGCTAGACCTCCTTCAATTGGAGAGGGGAAGGTGATCGGTATAGTTGACTGACTATCCCAGCTTGCCAGAGAATCCTTAAATTAACGTTAACTAGAGCAATAACTGTGACCGAAAGGGAAGCATTCCAGCTATATTATATGAGATCGACCCGGTCTCGTAGACTCATCCATGTGATGTAAACTGACAGGGACTATAGCATATTATCTGGCTCTGACTGCACTCTATAGACCCATGCACATGACGTCACAGCGCCGGTGATGATGCATCTGGAAGACAAATTAGCAATCTATGCATAATATATAACTTTAATTTGTAAACAAAGCAAATTTTTAAAACTTTATAATAATTTTGTATTGAAATGGTTAAATTTTGCGCTGTATGTGGTTGTTGTACCCAAACAGATATTGTTAGGGAGCATCTGGAGGACACTCTAAGGACTTGTGACGTCAGTGCAATGGGTCTATTGTGCCAATATAGCTATAGAGATAACACTATGACCAATTTTAATGATACCTTCCTGATCTGACTTTATGCATGCATGCCTTTATCCCGGTCTCGTTAGACAAAACTATAACCAAACGTCTTGTTCAAACGAGATATCAATTGACGTGTATTATCATGCAGCGCTGTTTTAAAATCAACTTTGTCTAAATCTGGTTTAGCTGCGTACATTTACTCGGCCGAATATTATCTAATATCTATAGTCGAATTTATCAGGTAGGCGGAATATGACTTCAGATCATTGTCTGAGCAATATTTCAACTAATCCAATGAGAACAGCTATAAGTAAAAACATTATTTCAGTGATGAATCTATGATTGTAATAAAATGAAATGTACATGTCCTGTTCTGACTACATCTCAATCATTTCTGAAACGAGAACTCAACACTGCTTATTAATTAACCTGGCATGGATTATGCCTTTCCCAGATATTAAAATATAATCCGACAAATGCTACATAATATACTTGATCATTATCAGTTAACCTTGCATGGATTATGCCTTTCTCAGATACTAAAATATAATCAGACAAATGCTACATAATATACTTGATCATTATCAGTTCCAAATTAACTCACCAAGACAGACGGCAGCGTGACAATAGTACTGGATCTGGTTCTGTGCTAGTAGTTGCCGGCTGTATTCACGAACTACTTTATGTCTTCCGGGTTTGAATACGAAAAGACCCCGTTTGAATTGTCCTTAATAAAAAATTCATGCATGGCATCTGCAGAACAACTTGAAACGAACCGCAAGTCAGCACGAGGAATAATTAATTACTTCTCTTTTCAATATGTCAATATACGCGAAATGGGTCAATACGCGAAATAGGTCAATACGCAAAACTGATTTGTCTTTCCGATTCCGATAAATACTAATTTTTCCTGTATAATTTAAATCTGCAGTACGCCTGCTGGGTGTCTTGTGAATAAAGCTCATTAGAAAAGTAATATTTCTCGGTTAGATATAGGTTATTGTATTGGCTACCACATTATTTTTTATGAAAATACTTACAGGGACGCCGCCCCCGTTGCCCTTTACCAGGAGGGGCAAGGGGGGCAAAGATGCCCTTTCAATTTAAAGGATTGCCTTGGCGAAATAGCGAATTGTCAGAAATGTTAGTGCGATTCTTTTACGAATTTGCTTCAGAAAACGCAAGAAATGCAGTCATCGTGCTTCAAGACCAATAGCACTATCGCCTGGTGGGGAACCCCCTCACTGCACCCTATCATCCAATAAATAGAAAGCATGATTAGGCGAAGTTCAACTCCCGATGTTTTGCAAACATCTCTTAGTATATGTCAACTGAAAAGTGCCCTTTTACGAAAATCTAACCCCCCCCCGTTGCCTTCACATTGTTCCGGCGTCCCTGAATACTTATACTCAGTCGAGGTGTTGTGATTGATTAATTATATAACTGAGTAAACACAATTAACCAGAATAGCCTTCCTCAGAGATACGCAAAACTACTAGTTAGTATATTATCCGACCCTACAGAGTACAACGAAAAGTTCGTTGTCTCCAGAGCGATTTGAACTTGCATCTTCTTCAGGTCTTTAGACCACCGCTCTATCCCCAGGAAGCCCAGTCTCTGATTAGCCCGCGCCAGTCCTATACCTCCTTAAAATAGGGAAGGAAGGAATTAAGAATGGCGCGCAAGTCGACTAAACTCGTATACATAGCCGTAAGCTATTGTCGATTGTTGGCTTTTAATGTATCTCTTTCGAATCCGATTTTAATAACTGTTTTATTATTTAATTGTAAATATTCCGGAGTCAAGAAGACGTCAAGCTGCTGAAAATGGAACAATAATCATATAGTGTTCGGAAGCATAAAGCCCTGGGCAAACTAGGAAACATTGTTGCGGAAACATTGTTGCGGAAACATTGTTTCCTACCAATGTTTCGCCATGTTTCCCAGAGTGGGCAAACACTAGGAAACATTAGTGAGAAACATAGGGAAACATCAAATGTTTCTGAATTTGGTAAGAAACATTTTTGTTTCCCGGGAAGCAAAGTGTTTCCGCAACAATGTTTCCACGGGTGGGCAAACATGGAAACATTTGAGGAAACATCGAGCCACATAAATTAGCGTGACACATTGTTTTTCAATATATTACGAAATTACGTCAAACGTGGCATATTTGTTTTCAATATTCCACGGTGATGTGATAACTCGTCGGATATGACGATTTCACCGACAGCTCTTAGCCAATCAAGACTCTTGAATTATTTCCAATCAATAATAAACCGATTTAACTCGAAAGAGCTATATTAAAAGCCGAAAAATTGACATTAATTTACGGCGGCTATGTATACGAGTTTATCCGGGTGATTTCGCTCGCCATTGTGAATTCCTTCCTTCCCTATTTTGAGTAGGGTTAGGGTTGGCGCGGGCCAAGCATACCCTGGGCACCTGTTCTCAACCATTGAAATTGAGCAATCGACTCAACGAGAAGCTAGAATAAATTAATATGAAACTAAAGAATAAACTTTCTAAAGAACGAATCACATCATCAAGGCAATAAAAAAAACGTGTTCATTATTTTTATGTTGCTTTATTATCTGAATACGCAAATTAATGAATTCCAGATTCTTTCATTACAATAGACAAATTTGGCTATAATGTATACCTAAGTCACCTGATTTATACTAGTACAGGGTGTCGCAAAAAAACCCAAAACTATTGAGATAACGTATTGTTAGAATTTGAATGGCTCAGCACTTTGCTGAACCAACAAATGCATCAAAGCTTGACATACAGGTAAGTTAATTTTATGCATAAAGAAACTGTTTAATTAAGAAGCTGCTTAAATTCTCAAGAGCAGAAAATCGTGCACTTTACAAAGATATTTTAATTTCTTAGGCCCCGTTTACACTATACCGGATTGCATCGGAGCGTGGCGATTTTCAGACCGGATTCGGCTGCTGTTTACACTACATTACAGTTATCCGGTACGCGACGCGGAGCCTGAAAAATCACTTCGCTTTGGAGGTGATATGAAAAGTAATCCGGTATGTGCCGGAGCAGTGTAAAGGCTAGTTTCTACTCAAGAAAATTATCCGCGTCGACTGCAATTCAAACAATAGATAATGAAGCTTAATAAGGTTTATCATCTCATTATCTATTGTCTTAATTGCATTCGACGCGACCAAAATTCGACGTATAAAACAGGCCTTAGGGAACTCGATGAAGACATAATAGACCTCAATACCAAGGTTTATGCAAAAAAATGGTGGGTTCATCGTCACGTGTGTATTGTATTTTCGCTAGAGCAACCAATAGCTATTTTTCATTTGGCCATTGTACATGTGTAATATCACGACTGGGTAATTAAATCAACACACTAGCTGCTATTAGTTGGTTGGGCAAAAAAAATAAACACGTGACGACGAACCGACAGAAACAAAGATAATGAGGTCTTTTAATATTCCTGCATCAAGTTCCTTAGCCTTCTTATTCTATTGACTATTTCCATGGACGGGTTTTCCAATTTCTAATAACAAAAAATAGATTTTCTACAGATAAATGATCTTCAAAGAAATTACTTTATTCAATCACAAAAGTTGATAGCACTAACATTGTGTTGCTCTAAAAAACTAATTGTAATTTAGCATATATTACTTCTAAACTAATAAAAAAATTAATGAACGACAGTATCATTCGAATTCTTCTGCAAGTCCGACGTATAGATTTTAGACTGTTGTTACTGTTGTATGGTACCTACATTGTTAAAGTAAACAAAAATGAAAGTTTCTTAATAAAAACGGCAACAAAACGTTTAAATATATTTATTTAGTAAATTTCTGCAATCGGCGACAGAACCGGCTTAGATCGAGTGAACATGAGTAGCTAACCTTTTCCTTTGCAATTGTGTTCAATGTTGTAAAACAAAAAACCATTCTTTCATCAACAATTAACTTACTTCTTGTTAAATTATATATTATAATATAGCATTTGTAAATTCTGAATGCTGATTGGCTAAGAGCCGTGTTGATAGTAGACCAGGCGGAGAAGAGGGGAATGGTCCCCCGACGGGGGAAATTTATGAGACCAAGTGGGCTTGGTCAATTTGAGGGCGCTGAGATAAAAAATCGATGGTATACGGACTTTGGGCGGGGCCTTCAGCCTCGTTTTCGCGATTAAAGCCTCGTTTTTGTGCAAAACCGATATCTGCTCGATTGAAGCGAAAAGTAATGGAGAATTTGTTCAATCAGGTCACCTATGTCAGTTTTTGGGCACTTAGTTGAACATTTAATTATATTCAGAAGGTAAACGTGCCCTCCAGTCTCGTTTGCACACTTTAAAGCCTCGTTTTCATGCTACAAACCCTCGTTTTCACTATTTAAATTTTTAATATTTCAATTACGTTTAATGCAGTCATTCTACTGTAATTAATTATTTCGTTTACATCCATTTACGGCCAACAATAAAATGAAAACATTTTCGCGCGTTTTTTATGTTTATATCGTGACGTTTATTGTTAGAAAGGAAAACACTTGAAGAATGTATATAGACCAACAGTAGTGTAAAAAGTGCAACTATTGTTGGCATAACTGTCATGTTTTGTTGGTGAAACAAGCAACTAAGCCGTTTATGTTTACATCTTCATAGAGTTTTTTAGCCCTCCTACTGTAATGACATTTAGATGTAATTACTTAAATTTAACTTAAATCTTTCTATGATAGCATGACGTCGATCAATTGTCGCGGTTTTGCAAAATATTTCAAATTCACGATTTTCTTGTTTTAATTTGCTGGTTTGGGTAAAAAAATCGCTGCTTCAACATCAAAGTTGTTATTTCTCTATAAAGGAATCATATCTCAAGTGCTCAGCTTGCTAACAATCGACGTCATGATATAAACATGGAAAAACGTTGATATAAACATGGAAGTTGCCCGTTTAAAAATGTGCCAATAAACGTATATTCACGGAGCACAATTGTTTTCAGAATTAGCTATCACGAATTTCTCGAGTATCACTTCATCAGAATTAGGTTTAAAAAAAGTGTACGAAGAAATAGCTGATTGTATCGTTCACTATGACTCAATAGACATATCTGGTGATAAATTGGTTCGACCAAGTCCAAACACATTTGAAACTCTGTTTGAATGCAAGAAAATACGAGAGAATCTTGGCAGTGAAAACCATCATGTCGATCAATGCAATAAAATTCCAGAGAATTTGGGAGAAATTGAGTACTTCTACCATCGAAAATGTTTTTAAAAGTTTGTATATGCCAAAGCGTTATTGAAACGGAAAGAAAACAAAGACAACTATCAAGGTTGTAGCAGCAAACTTCAAAGAACAACAAGAAAGGCATCACAAAGTGCCGAAGCTACTTAATACTAGCTTCAGAGGACTCTTTCTGAATATCTGTATGATTTGTAAGAAGACAGACCTAAAGCTGAAAGGTGTACGTCAGCCACTGTCTAGGATTGTCACTGATACTGCAGAGAGAACATTTAAAGAAGCAGCTGTTGCTCAGAATGACTTAGAAATGATCAGAGCCGTCACAGAAACTGATTTAATAGCGAAAGAATGTCAAAAACACGAGAAGTGCTATCTAGAATATACTAGGGTCGTCAGGTGCTTATTTTTTTATTCTTTAAGGTATGAACGATATTCTGGTGGGATAACTTTAATGGCAATGTTGAGACTGCATCTTGTGCAGGTTCAATTCATAATACACCAGGCATAGCGTTTCAGGAGCATTCTGCTGCAGCTGTAATGAGACAAGAGGATATAACTATTCCCAACAGAGATGTTTTGTTCAAAGCTGTTGCTGTTATGGAAATCTGTGCGATATCTAAACTCTGCCAACCAGACAAAACCCAGGTTCGTGGGTTATATCGTGCATGTGCCGTTTTCAGCAAGCTCATAGCAAAGCAACACTGATGACATACTTGCCTCCTATTTCTTCCCCAATAACCGAATACTCCACCATCATAGAAATGTTCCATCAATCTAGTCAGCTAGCGAAGCAATCCAACATGTTCTACACTCACATCACTCTCCACGTCGGAGCTGCAATCAAGGCTTTTCATGTGGTTTGGAACAATCCAGATGCGTGGTCCGACATTATAATTCATCTAGGGGATTTTCATGCAATAATGGCCTTTTTTGCGGTTATTGGGCGTTTCGTCGAGGGAAGTGGATTCAAACATGTGTTATTTCAAGGGGGTCTGTGTAGCTCTGGAAGCATTAACGGAGTAACATATTCTTTAACAGTGTCATCGTTAAGAATATTCGTTAAACTTGTTTCTTGTGCGTGGTCACTTTGGGCGAACTCCTCAACTTTCTCTGGTATGGTTGGTAAACATTGTTCTATAAAGAGCCTTTCCAATGCTTCGGAAAAAGCTTCGTGAACAAGCCAACATCGATTGTAGTGCTTTCCACTCATCAAGCAATGCCAAACTGACACAGAAAACCAAATGTTTGAACGGAGAATTTGGAAAAACACTCCAGTATTGTGCAAAATATATGGAACTAATTGATCGTCAGCAGAAATGCACTTTTCCATCAATACCGATAATTATGATCTGAGAATGCGCATTTGGAAAAAATCTTTGCCTTTGTGCTTCGCTACTAATCGGGTTCATTTTGCTCGCTATGGTATTATGTCGGTGGCTTAGAATGTATCGACAGTACTCACCCAGGAGCAAGACAGGAGATCGAAGATCTTGGCTTGTCCGTGCGGAAAAATCAACTTGGCATAGGACAGGCAATTGACATTGGCAGGCGAACAAAGTTACATGAGAAACGCAAAGACTGCGGGTAATTTCATATTTATCAATTAAACCATCTGGTGTATTAATGCGATGCATCTTCTTAAACAATCTTTCTTTACAGATGACGAACGCCATAGTTATATACTTCAAATGTATTACCATTCTTTGTTTTTCAGGTGGAGTCACACAGTTTGCTGCAAAAGAAAACACTGTTGCAAAGTGGGTCATGAATAGACCATATCAAACCAAGTTTGTCGAATCGTTACTGAAGCTATCAGGAATGTCCAGTACAACGTCAAATCCACGAAAATATCTGTGATGCAGTGAAATTCTAAAGTCGAATAAGATGGTGGAAAAAATAATGGTCGTATTGCGGACACAATTCATCAATCCCTTCCAACCTGATCTTGACAAGGATGAGTTGTTCAACTTGGTATCGGGGTATCCAGCTCCAGAGAATGTACGCAACTGCTTACTCACACTTGAATCGAGAGGAAAGGAGCTAATGGATGAATTTCAGGACAGAATTACAACGGAATCAACAGGATCGTCCAAAATAGTTTTTTTTAGCCCAATCAAGACGGAGACGCTCAAGACCTTCAAGAGTTTGGCCGTTAAAACCAAGTTAATTAAAGAGCAAAGGAAAGTCAAAAGAACTTACATTTCAGAGAGATATCTTGGGAATGTTAGTTGCTTATTCCAACAAGCACGAGGCAGGGGTTGATCTTGAAAAAGTGCTGTGTCTTCCCTTGCACCAGTTTCAATACCACTAAGCACACCAGATGGTGCAATAAGAAAGACCGTCAAAAGCAAATTGTACGACGCCTCCGTGAGCGACCTAAGCGTTGTAAACTTCGACGCACTACCACCTGCTTCGACAATTAGAACATACTTGATAGATCTTGCCGCTGCAATGCGTAGTTTTGTTGGCAATGGATCAACAATAAGATAAATGGCATCTAGAATAATAGCCACTGTTCCTTCTCAGTACACCACTATCTTCATAGTTTGTGATACGTACAAGGACAATAGCATCAAAGGAGGAGAACGCCAGGCAAGAGATGTCAGCGAGCGGTATGTTCTGACCAGTCCTGACATGAAGGTACCTTACGATTTCACAAGTTTGGGGAAAATGAGGCGGAATACCTAGTTAATTGTCGGAATATAATTAAATTTTCAACTCAGCGCCCCAAAACTGACATAGGAGGCCTGATTGAACAAATTCTCCATTGCTTTTCGCTTTAATCTCGCAGATATCGGTTTTGCACCAAAACGAGGCTTTAATCGTGAAAACGAGGCTGAAGGCCCAGCCCACAGCCTGTATACCATCAATTTTTGAACTCAGCGCCCCCAAATTGACCAAATCCACTTGGTTTCATAAATTTGTCGGGGGACCATCCCCCCCCCCCCCTTCTCCGCCTGGTCTATAGCTAACTCAATGTGTCAACACAGAAACGTCGGAAAATTTCTTTCCTTATATTTCTTTGTGCTATATTATAAAACAATTATAAAACATTTTTCGATATTGATATGTAGTTATATCAACACTCGTGGAAATTGTGAAAACTCGAAATTATGCGAAAACACTCCGCCCTTCGGGCGTCGATCTTTCCCTCTTTTGATCATATTTTTTGTGCTTCAATATTTCCCGCCTAAAAATAAGTTTATACACTTAATTATCGCTTTCAAGTTTTTCGATACAACTCACAGCGTCATAGTGTATTGTCATAGTGTATTTCATCGCTTTCAATGAAAATGGGATTATTTTTCATTTAAAGCAAACTTCTCCAACATATTTTTAGGAAACCATATCTAAGTTCTGGCCCGATGGTCTTTTAAGTTCAAAACTTCGCTTGTATTCATTCAATTCCTTAATATCATGACTATTATACGTCCTGCTTTAAAATATTTTCAAAGCTCACGAGCTTAATTAAAAACCATTTCGCCTGATTGTTTGCAAAAAGGAAACAAAAAAATCACAAGCGAAGCATGCAAAGGTTGAAAGAAATCATTCAAACGCTTGTGTATGCTTTTAAATTTTCCAATTGGAGATTGTATTTATCCGACTAGTAAGAGTGTATACGAAAACGATAAGACCGCAACTCGGCTACGTTGGCTATGGCGAATAGTCAACTCAGGCTAACAACTCGACCTGGTTGTCTAATTGTTAATTAAACGGCCTTTCGTCCAAGTCACTGCTTGGGGTCTTTAACAGGTACAAATGAAGCAAGGAGAAAGACCAAAGTTATATAGTAGATCACAGTGAGATGGACGAAAGCTCGTTTAATTAAAATGTGATAATGCACGATGGAAATAATGCACTGTGCAATGTGCATGTTATGTGCAGGCACTGCGGCAGTTGCATCTTTCTGTGTTTTTCTCCCTTCAGCTCTGCATTTTAGAAAAAATATATAAACAAAACTACAGAGTTTTTAAAATGCAAAATTTATCAGAAGTTAAGAAGTTGGATTCGTCGAATTATTTGTTGTCTAGCTTGACAAGTTTTGAGGAAAACGAAAATAGCAGGGAAAAAACTTGAAAAAGATGCAAATACATAGAAAAATGTTACAAAATCTGAAAAAAATGTGATTTAGAAAGATAAACATACTTCTGACAAACATTGCATGTTGAAATTTTTTAAATTAAAACTGAGCAACGTACCCGACAAAAACCTCCGAATGCTGAAACACATTTGCAAATTAGTCTGCGTATATCACTGTCCTTTCACTTCCAGCATTTTGAACAGTTTTTATCAGTTTAACATGAAAATTTTGCATTGTTTTTAATCCTTAACCTACTTAAAAATTGAAAATTTGAGCAGAATGCTTGACAATCTTGCCTCTAAGGGACAATAAACATGTTAGGAGACTACATTAGGAGACAACATGTTAGGAGAATTTCAATGTCGACCATTTGAATAAAATTGTTTTTAATTACCATTAGAAATAGAAAAACTCGTTTGTTCATGGTGTAATAATGCACTTCAGGAATGTTGGTACACTTTGTAAACATTCTCTCGTATTCAGCCACTATTCCCCACGTGCATTATCACACCATAAACACACGCGACTCGTTGTTTTTTAATTAAATTAAACGAGCTTTCGACCCCTTTACTGTGGTCTTCTAACTGTGGTCTTTCTCTTTGCTTCATTTGAACCTGCTGAAGACCAGATGCAGTAAAAAGAACATTTTAACCAAATGTATATAATATGTTGACTATTTAATATAAAACATCAAATATTTATTAGGAAGCTTATACAGGGGGTTCCGCAGCAAAAATTCTTACAAGTTCTTATCAAGTAATTTATAATTATAACAATGAATTCGAAGAAGTCAAATTTTCCCGGGAAGCATACTTCGATTGTACTATATTATGCATGGGTAGCGAGGGAGTCCAAGTACATTTTCACACAATAAACAAACTTTATTCGAACTATAGCGCAAAGCTCGACTAGAAATCCTGGCTACGTCACTGAACGTAGCTTTTGCGCAACATACAGCTATTTTGATTAAGGTTGTCCCCCAAGCAAAACGGAAAAGTCAAATACGAGCGCGAAAGGCTGCTGGGAATCGCTAATAAATTCATTCATTTATTAGCGATTTCCAACAGCCTTTCGCGCTCGTATTCGACTATTCCGCTTTGCTCGGGGGACAACCTTAATTGAAATAGCTGTATATTTATGTTTTCATGTTGCTGTTCTAATTAACAATATTGAAGATAATTAGCAAACTTTCCACATCACCTCGGTTAGTAAATGGTTCCAAATCTAGATTCCATCTTTATACCAAGATAAACTTGCTGGAGGATTAGAGTAGCGACCATTGCCATTTAATGGGCACAAGATGCAAGACGAATTCATGGATAAATGCACGTCTGGCGTTACTGAAATATAATAATAGATAAAATATACAAATGTGCAATCTTTGCAAGCACTGTTATCAGGCTAGGTTCCAGGTTATTTGCATGCTTGCTGACATATCCAAATTAGGCAAAGGCATAATTAAGCATACAAATAGCCGATTTTTTAAGAAAAAAAAGTAAGTTTACGTAAATAGTTAAAGGGCTTAGACTAAAGCAATTGTCTGAAATTTGTACAGTAATAAAAACAATACAAATCTTCCATCTATTAACTCCAAGTATGATTAAAGTTTTTAAATTTCGTGCTCAAGCCATTTTTAGTTTGTTAAAAAAGACATCCCCACTGGTTCACAAAATTTCATTATTTTATATTATAAGTACCCAAATAAGCTATATACATTAAAAACTGGATACTAATAGCTGTTTTGCTTAGACTATAGCAATTGTCTGAAATTTGTACAGCAATTAAAAACACTACAAATGTTCCATCTATTAACTCCAAATATGATTAAAGCTCTTAAATTTCGTGATCCCCCCTGGTTCACAAAATTTAAGTTCGAGAAATTTTTTTCATTTTTCTATATTATAAGTACCCAAATAAGCTATATGCATTAAAAACTGGATACTAATAACTGTTTTGCGAAATTGAGAGCAAGTTAATATCGTTCAGGTTTTTTTTTTGCATTGCTCACTTCCTGTATATTGCTCACTGCACTGTACACAAGCAAAATTCAGTAGCCTCGTAGAAAGGTTTTGATGCAAATTTAGCATGCTCTGAACCAGAGATGATGACTTCGGAATAAGTCGATCTTGGGAGATCGATTTTTACAGGACTTGAGAAAGAGATTTCATATTTTCTATAGTCTAATGTAAATGCACTGGTGGTTTTTCACTCATGACTGTCATACGAAGGGCCATAATTGTTCGAGACGTCGGATGTTCATTAGGTATTTTTCAGGTAATTAATCTTATACTAGTGCTCGCATTTTACTTTTCTCAATTAACATCTTATTATATATAGCTAATTGGTATAGGATTATACTGAATAATTATGATCATATCCCAAACGTGGTTAGGCCATAGCTACGTGGGTATCCGTGGTTGGTGTTTATATATTAAAACATTTAATTCTAAGCAAAAATAAAGGCCTTTACTTCCATACTACTATCTCTCTGATGGTTTGAACACCAACATGACAACTTTTCTAAAGTAATCTAGGGTGGGGGGGGGGGGGTAACTTTATTATAGCTTCTTCAAATGTTGTTTAGTTCACGAAATATTTTGACCATAATGATCATATATCACTGAGCTGTCCTCCATCTTGGATTATTGTACGTGGACATATGCACGTTACGTAACAAGCAAAGTCACTTAATATTTATCAAGATATGCATATGGTCATTACGAGCATAATTATACTCCGGTCACTATTTCAAATAACCATTATTTGTCTGACAATTATTAAACTAAGAATCTACTAGCTAATTGTTATTTTGTCGCAAAGGTTTGGTCGCAAACCATTGTTTTGACGTTACCAAAAGCAGCGTTAATGACATAAAAAAATAATCCAAGATGGCGGATGTCTCATAGTTTTCAGCAAATATTTCAAAAACTAACTAGATATGAAAAATCTGTACATGAGTGTAGGAATTTTAAAAGTTCTGTCAGATAACACAAACTCAATTTTTATTTCCATGTACATCCCATTAATCAATGCATGCATGCATGCATATACTACTTGCCTGCTACAAAAACCACAACCTTAGAACTGTGAAGGCGACCTGACCAGAGGGAAAACTCGTATGTTCCATTATAAGTATAATCAACGTTTTTCAATACCAAGGTTGCTGGCTTTATGATCTCAATCCCAGGTAAGCTGCTGTTTAGTACACTAGGAACATTATCATTTATTATTCTTGCAAGTGGTTCTTGTGCTGCGCCATTATGTTTGAAATTCCAAAACCGAATAAGCACTGCTGATATAGGGTCATCAAAAACCCAGGTTATACTAAGATTTGATCCAGGAAGCACAACAAGGTTGGTCCCGTAAATCGGTGAATAAAATTTTCCTAATCAAGTTAGAATTAATAAAATATTATAGTTAATACTTCTGAAAGCTAATCATAAAGCACAGTATATACTAAGTGATTTTGCTCGTATTTGCTGGAATTTTTGATCCTTAAAAAAGGTTCATACTGTCATGCAGGCTGTATTATTATTGCCGACTTCCTCTTATCACTGTTGAAAAAGTCGTAGTTTGAAGAAGGCCATCGTGACTTTATTTGTCAAACATGCCGTTTAATCCCATCATGACTATTATGTGGAGCCATATATAGTATTTTGCCGCGGCGTTAAATTATTTACTCTGTAATTCCGTGTTGGTTTCAGATACCGCTGCTTTGTTTCTTAACACACGAACACATTTAACTGCCGGAGGCAATCCCATTTCAAATTCCTGCTTTAGCTATAGTGGCTGCAGAGAATAGAATGCAGTTATACTGGGCTTCAAGTGTAAACTTTCTGGCCCAGTAGAATTTCATATGGCATGCATCCAAGCTGACATTGCTCTATCTACCAGATGATCTTGATACGCGGAAAAGTACTGGCACTAGTTGTCAAATAGAAATCCATTTTGTGACTAAAACAACTGAATATCTCCTGTGATATACTTTATTTCGATTCCATATTTTTGTCAGAGCTATAGTTCTCATAACCAAACATAATTACAAAATTTCAACTAGTTTCATAAAGAATAACGAAAGATATAATTGACTGAATACATCAAAATGGATTTCTATTCGGACAACCCTTTCTGAGCGCTGATTGGATAAAATACGAACACGAGATCACCTGGTAGTCGAAAGTTAACACCCATATTATGGACATTATGCAAATTAAAAAACGCTTCCCTTTTGCTTGCCAAAATTATTAACTAAGTTTTAGAAATTGTAATGCCAAGCATCTGTTTTTAATATTTTGACTCTCATTCTGGCCATAGGTTGCAGTCACAAGCGGTAAAACCCCATTATAAACAATGACAGACGTACTCGAGAGCAGGCGTGTGTGATACTCTACAGTGTGTATCAAAATAATTCGAATCCAAATTTGACAGACTGCTGTTTATAAAATACTAAAGTAAACCATATAATTTTTATATGGCAATAAAGAATAGCTTATTAGGTTTCCGATTATATCGTTCTTATATCAATAAGATAAAAAATGACCAAGAAATCGTGTGTTAAAACTGGTTGCTCGAAATCAAATTTTTCCGCCGATGGGAATTCGAAGTGAGACGTACAAACAAAAGATAATGCAAATTTAATTAATCAACAAACTGTTATGTAGCAAAATTTACATAAATTCGTGTTCATTTAAAGAGATTTAAGCTCCTATGCCTTCAACATGTTGAACGAGAAGAAATTCGCGTTAAATTTGCATTTTAGTTTTCAGTGATGATGAGCATTTCAAAGCCTTGTGGGACTAACTTTGAAAGAAAAAATGTCCAATTCCCATCGGCGGAAAATTGTGATTTTTATGGACTTTTTTTGTCAAAGCAATACTCCTTCATTTTCCAACTAAATGACGCGTACAACATGTCATTTGAAAGGTAAATAAATGAACTTTACAATGGTGTAAAAACCAACCGAATTTGTCAAATATATTCTGCGTTATTACACGCCAAATTTGGATTCGAATTATTTTGATACACACTGTATATTCAAATTTTCTCGCGCTTATGCAAGTGATTCAAGAATTAATTGTAAGCTCGTCGGACTAGGTTAAGCCAGGGCGTAGTAAAACACGGGCGGTGAAACGCGCTAATATTTGCCTGATCCATGTGTGATGCACGGGGGACTGGCGCGAGCGTGCGAAATGCGCGGATCAAGCGGGATTTTTAAAGATGAAGCGAAGCAAAAACAAGAAACAAAAATATTTAAAGGGCAATCAAAAAGTACAATTTGTTAAGGTAAATCTATCCTTAAAATGGAAAAAAATTAACTTGTTATAAAATAGAGACTCTTGCAATTAATTAGTATTGCAAATTACACCGCTGGAGTTGGAAAAGCATTTTTAAAATGTG